GTGTGTGTGTGGGTGCGTGCGCGCGTGCGTGCGTGCGTGCGTGCGCGTGCGTGCGTGCGCGTGCGTGCGTGTGTGTGTGTGTGTGTGTGTGTGTGTGTGTGTGTGTGTGTGTGTGTGTGTGTGTGTGTGTGTGTGTGTGTGTGTGTGTGTGTGTGTGTGTGTGTGTGTGTGTGTGTGTGTCTGTGTGTGTCTGTGAGTTTGTGAGAGAGTGTGAGTGAGTGTGATTGTCTGTGCGTGGGTGGGTGGGTGGGGTGGCAAGCGTGACTAAGTTGGATGAAACTGGAATGTTGCTGTTTCCAGCTGCCATGCCAAATGGAAAATCTCAATTGACCTGCAGTGTAAGTTCTGATGCCCTGGCCTGTATAACTCGCGAAGCGATTTTGGATGGCGTTGTGCAGGGCAATCTGTCCGTTGCCAGCGTCCACCACCGTGAATCTCTGATGGGTCCACGAATCCAGGATGCCATTATCATCTTCGGGCGGGCTGGGATAGAGACTGACGTGTGACATGGAGACGTATCGGTTCCACACCCTGTTGTGCAGGGCGATCACAGAGCCTGGCCTCAGAGGAACCCCGTTTGCCCGCCCCATGTCTTGGGTGGAGAAATCCTGCAGGGAAGCAATTGCCTTCTCCTTGGTCTCCAGCGAGATGAAGGGCAAAGACGCCAGGACCACGGAGAATTGGTCAGCGATGTTGATCAGGGGGATCCTTTGAGCTGGGGATTTGAAATCCCCGAAGCCCATCTCGATGCCCATCTCGAGGCTGTTGCCCGCCATAAGCCCTTGGATCTTGAAGTTGGTCATCCCCTCCTTCTGGAAGTTGAACAACTCGACGACGTCCTCCTTGGCCTCCTGAATGGCGCTCATGCGGCGAGCAGCATCTGCCCCACGGAGCTCAGAGGTCTTCTTGGCCTCCATCTCCTCGTTGTAGTCGACGGACCCCAGGTACATATCCTCCACGTCGGTCTTCCAGTACGGCGACTCTGCCGTGCCGTTGCTTCGATTGCTCTCCATGAGAGACATTCTACCGAAGGCGTTTCTGCTTTGACCTGCGGAGTCAGGTAGCCCAACTACATGCTTCGAGGTTTGGTAGCTGCTCTCCACGTTGGCCTTGACGAAGTCCGTGCCATGGCCGAAGCGCTTCGCCAAGCGCAGCGTCCGGCTGAACACGAGGTTCCCTCCGCTCTTGATCTCCGAGCGGAGGACCGACAGGTCCAAGCCCCCGGGCATCTTGTTTGGCCAGCACACCGTGGTCGCCAACGCAAAGAGCGGCGCGGGTAGAAGTTCAAATCCCAAGCCCCCTACAAAGGCCACAACTGGCTGCACGCCCATCGAAAAGGTGATAGTCAAGCACTTCTCAATGGGCAATGACGCAGTGTAGAAGGAATAGCCCTGCCACTTGTTCCAGTTGTCCTTCATCCAAGCATTGTCGCAAGGCACAGCCCAGGGCTCCAGCTGGATGAAGTTCTCCTTGCTGGGCGCCGTCCAGTCAGTTTTCGTCGCCTCTTGATGGTTGGCCACGTGGGCTCCGTTCTTGCCCCTCGGAGCAAAGGCCAGGCAGGAACCCGTCTCCGCCTCCCGGCCGTCGAACTGTGTGACCAAGGGACTGGCATGGACCTCTTGGCCGTCCTGGAACCCGTAGCCCACCGCTCCGGATGGGTCCTCCTGCAGGAGTGATGCGTCGAGGTGCTGGGAGTGGGACTCAATGAGGAGGTTCTTGTCCTTGTGGTGCACCATCCTTTCCCCCACCGCAGGGAACTTGGAGGCGCTGGCCTTCTGAAGCAAGGACGCGCTGCCGCGCAAGGCCTTCTTCACCACCTGGGGCAATGGCAAGCCAACTGTTCGAAGCCACAACAAAAGTCCTTCGCAACGCGCGCAGAGCGCGCGATGAACATGCGACAACAAACGACCTGAGTGACCGAAGCCGCGCGGCCGCTTGCCTGCGTTGCCACCCTAGCGAAGGTCAGAATCATCTCAGCAAGCACCTCCTTCATGCGGCTCAGGAAGTTCAAGGGAGGCACTGACGAGATGATCTTCAAGCCCAAACACTTGGTGAGCTCCCCGGATGACTGGATGTTGGCGCAATCCTTCAGCACATTCCCCACGGTCACCAAAGTTGCCACTGAATTCACGTGTGTGCCGGCAATGCTTTGCACTTGCGGGGGCATCCAATTCAGCGGGGGCTCAAACTGCATGACATAAGTCGACACACGCTTGGCCATGCAGTGGAACGTGTTGCCTCTGTCGCAATGGGGAGTGTTCAAGAGATCAAATATCATGGTGAAGAGCCTGTCGATTCCTTCTTGGCTGGTCCCGGCAATGCTTTTCAGTTGCTGGGGCATCCAATTCAGCGGGGGCTCAAACTGCATGACATAAGTCGACACGCGCTTGGCCATGCAGTGGAACGTGTTGCCTCTGTCGCAATGGGGAGTGTTCAAGAGATCAAGCATCATGGTGAAGAGCCTGTCGATTTCTTCTTGGCTGGTCCCGGCAATGCTTTT